TTCACAAGTGCCCGAAATTACTTCGAGTTAGAACTGAATGAAGCCAAACAGGCAGGAGACACGCATAGAGAAGGCGTAGCATATAACGGCCTTGGCATTGCGTATAAATCTCTGGGTGATTATAAAAAAGCTATCGAATTTCATCAGCAGTCTCTTAGTATCGCAAAAGAGGTAGGAGACAAAGGTTTAAAATGTAAAGCATATACCAACCTTGGCAATGTGTATCGCCGTCTCGGTGATTATAAAAAGGCAGTCGAATTTCATCAGCAGTCTCTTAGTATCACAAAAGAGATTGGAAACAAAGGTTTTGAAGGTAAAGCAAATACCAGCCTTGGCGTTGAGTATCGCTGTCTCGGTGATTATAAAAAGGCAATCGAATTTCATCAGCAGTCTCTTAGTATCGCAAAAGAGATTGGAAACAAAGGTTCAGAAGGTAAAGCATATACCAGCCTTGGCAATGCGTATCTCTGTCTCGGTGATTGTAAAAAGGCAATCGAATTTCATCAGCAGTCTCTTAGTATCGCAAAAGAGATTGGAAACAAACGTTCAGAAGGAGGAGCATATACCAACCTTGGCATATTACTCTCGTAATATTACTCTCTCGGCGATTATAAAATAGCAATCGAATTTCATCAGCAGTCTCTTAGTATCGCAAAAGAGATTGGAGACAAAGGTTTAGAACCAACGGTACACGGCAATCTTGGTCGTAGTTTTGAAAAGTTTCATGATTTCCGTCAGGCTGAAGAGTGTTATGAATCCAGTATAAAAGTGTTTGAGGAGATGAGGTTGCTTCTTCAAGAGAAAGACGAATGGAAAATCAGCTTTCGGGATCAATTAAAAACGTACAGTTATTTGTGGATTATTCAGTTACGACAAAGCAAGACCAAAGAGGCCCTTTTAACAGCTGAGCGAGGACGAGCGCAAGCTCTCGCTGATCTCATGGAATCTCAGTATGGCGTAAAATCAACTCCATCGGCATCAAAAGAGCGGTTTGAAAGAATAACTAACATTTCAAGCCTTGTTTCATCACCAACGACGTTTCTCGCGGAAGCAGAAGAATCAGTGCACCTCTGGGTACTGTATAAGGAACAAGAGTGGCAATTTAAGCAAAAGAAAATCAATGATACTTTGGAATGTTTGACTAGCAAAGTGTACAAACAGATTGTTCCTAAGCAGATTGGTGTTCTTGAGCTTGCCAGATGCGAAGATCGCTTGCTGGATTATCCAGACGATGAAACAGCAGAAGATTTATCCGATAGGGGTGCAAACGACAAAGAGTTTACATGGTCACAAGCTGGGGTTGATGCTTTAAGAGAGTTGTATGATGTTGTGATCGGTCCGATTTCACACTTGATAAAAGATGAGGAACTTATCATTGTTCCTGATGGTTCATCATTCTTGATTCCTTATGCTGCCCTTTTGGATCAAAATTCTAGGTATTTGTCTGAAACGCTGAGAATTCGATTGGCTCCGTCACTAACAAGCTTGAGCCTGCTGTCAGAATGTCCTGAGGGGCGCCATTGTACATCTGGTGCCCTACTAGTTGGTGACCCGTGGATTGAGACTGTTCGCCTAAAAAGCGGGGAAAAACGAAAACCAAAAAGATATCCGCAGCTTCCTGGTGCTGAAACGGAGGTAAAAATGATTGGTGAGATATTAAACGTTGAGCCTCTCATTGGAAAGAACGCTACAAAAGAACAAGTGCTAGGCAGGCTAAAATCAGTTTCTTTAGTTCACATTGCAGCTCATGGTTCTGCAGAAAGGGGTGAAATTCTGTTGTCACCTAATCTTGGCAGCTCTGAACCTCCCGAAGAGAAAGACTTCCTCTTGACGATGACAGATGTGTTGAATGCAAAACTGGACGCCAAGCTTGTTGTCTTAAGTTGCTGTCACAGTGGACGAGGAAAGATCAAGGCTGAAGGCGTGGTTGGTATTGCACGTGCCTTTTTAGGAGCTGGTGCGCGTTCTGTTATCGCCTCAATTTGGGCGGTTAACGACGAAGCTACTCTGGTGTTTATGAGACACTTTTACGAACATTTGGTCAAGGGGCAGAGTACAAGTAGGTCGCTTCACGAGGCCATGAAAATGATGCGGGAGTCAGACGACTTCAATGCCGTTAAGTACTGGGCACCATTTATGCTGATTGGGGATGACGTCACTTTAAATTTTGACCAATGAAGGTGAAGTTCTTTGGGTAAGTTTGGTTTAAAATGTTATTGAGTCAATGAAATGCAAAAATACAGTGTTAGAAATACCACACGTTGATAATACTTGTAAGATAAAGAATAGTTTCGGATGAAGAAGATTAAAATGGAATTACTTACCAAAAAACTTAAAAATTTTTGGGCTAAATTTTGTAGTGTGGCAAATGTATATGAAATAAATCATATATGATAACTGCGTAAATTAAATCAAATGAAGAATGATCGTCGCAGTTGTAAACGCAATTTATGCAATTGCGTAAAAGAAACCTGAAAAAACTTCAGAATTTCAACGGGATTTGAACCCGTGACCTCGCGATACCGGTGCGAAGCTCACCAACGGAGCTATGAAGCCACTGATGTTGGGAGCAGGTAACAAATGACAACAGCGAGGATCATTCTTTACTTGATTAAAGTTTTTAAGTTGCAAAAAACGTTGTTGCAGTTTGGAGAAATACAAGAATTTTGTCTCTGAATGTTTTGTTCCCAGTTTCTGAAATTAAGCCTCCAGAGAGTTTAAAACGGAGGCTTCGGAAATATCGGAAATGACCTACCTTGGGGTAATTTAGGAAGTTGCTCTACTTATTGTTTACCCAGAAGACCCTTATACCTTTCCTTATAAAAAAAAATAACAATCATGTTTATTTTTCAGTTGCATTGCAGCACAATATAACGGAAACGGCACAATATGACGAACTCTAAATGATGAGTTGCTCACTTGCCGGTACCTTGGTCGCTTGCTGACTGGAACACAAGTAAAAGAATAAAAACGAAAGCAACCATGAACTAATGACATTCACTAATATAATGTCTCTGCATTGTAGCGCACGAAGTCAGCTTTTCACGTGACAACCTTTCTCGAATTAGCTATATACCCGTGACATCCAGTACTACACGCTCATATCACTGAGGACTCAGCTTAATATTGTTTTCAAAACAGATATTGTTAAATTCGTAGATAACTAAGGAATGCCAGTCTTCGTAGACAACTTTTCTTCACTTTTTTACTTGTGGCTTTCAAACCCCTTCTAAATAGAGAAATGGCGTATTTTGTTCCAGTCAGTCGTTTGTTTTATCCATTTATATTTGATAGTTAGTCTTTTAAGAAGTGAAAAATGACTTTTTTGGTTAATTCCATATACCTTTTATTTGCAAAGTTTTTTGTGCAAAAGCGTGTAAGGCACTATATTTGTTCAGTGTAAATATCTGGTCCTTACCCGATTCCGTTCACACTTATAGTTTAGAATAATTTTATGCGAGATAAAACATATCTTTTCAACTTGTTAATTACTTCAGTTATGAGACTGTTCTCTATGTGGTCCACTCCCTGAGAGTATCGCGCCCGCAGTATAAACACAGTTGAAACACAACTGAAACAGTTTTTATTAAATCATTTTGAATCGTAGTTAGTATTTGTAATGTTGGTTCAATTTTTAAATCTTTCTTGTAGTATTAATTTGAAACCGTATTTTAGTGTATTTTTCATATATTTTTGATCTTGTTTTTTTAGAGGACCCTCCTATGTAAAAACCACTTTAAGGTGACTGGAGACCTCCTCAAAAAATTATTTATTATAGTATGTACAGGACGTAATGTTTAGCTCGCCAGCGATATCCGAGCCGTGTTTATTGACACGACTAGGTGAACATTAGGCCACACATAAAGTGATGAAACTTTGCGCCTTTTTAGCTGTTTAAAAGACAAGGTCACACCAGGAAGGACAATGTTTTTCCAGTCCGAAATAAAAAGATGACAGTGTGTTTGTTGATTGAGTATTCTCTGAGCCTTCAAGTCCATCCGATGAAAAAAAAATTTGTTCGACAACAATCGTTTAAAAAATCAACTGTGTCCACAGATCACGCGTAACCAGTTGCGTCCAACATTAAAGCGCCTGGAAACTCTTTGTTTGGTACTGTCATGTGACCATTTTGTATTTTCTTCCGGTCTCCTTTATTTCTGAATTTTCATAAGAAAAACAGGTCGGCTTTGAAGGTTGAAAAAGACGGTCATGATCCGGACACATTTTCATCACTTAAAGAAATATTAAGGCTAGTGATAATCTGTGAATCTGTCACTTTCAGTATATTACTTTTCAGTTAATTATTAATTATGACTAGCTAGTTTACTGTTCTTATATTAAGAATTTACATTACTCTTTCTAATATTTCATTGATTTTTTATGACTTATTGTTAATTATGGCCAGTTAGTTTTAATAAATATTGTACATTTCTAAGCTGTTAGTACAAAATGAAGGTCTTAAACTTTAAGCAATTTTTTTACAGTCTTAAGGCCATTTCCGAGTTGCTCCAAGATTCTTTTTCAGAGCGAGGCTGAGTGCGAAGTTGTTGATGTGAAAATGATTTTGTATTTTCATGCAAATAAAACTTTTTTTTTCACAGGAAGGGTTTTGCACTTAGCCTCGTGTACAGAGTGAGAGTTTTTGTATCTCGGAAGTGGTCTGTTACTGTTTACACCTCCACCAGTCCGTTTTTGTCCTAAGTGGGACCCCCGTTCCAAATAATAGAAAAATAACTGCAATGAGAAACTTGAACTTCCCGCCAATTTTACGTTGTGCGAAATGACGTCACGTATGAGACAAAATAGCGACTCAAGATCCTCGGGCGTTTGCTCGACGGACAAAGAAAAAAGAGAGACTGCTCGTAGTCTACCAAAATAGCGACCCAGGATCCTTGCACTCATTTGACTGACGAAAATCCCTCTGGGATCAGATGAGCTATTAAGGGTCAGGAAACTATCAATAACCAAACACAATCTCACTATTTCAGAAATGACCCTTTGAAAAGCCAGATACAGAAACTAGTGTATTGTACTAGTGGTCTGTGTTTTAAATTGTTAGTACAAAAAAAAAATGAACATTTTAGCGTGACTTTTGTCAGTCCATTAGAAAATGATTTCAGCCAAGTTCCCAATCCCCCATCTGAGAACCCCATTCCAAAAAAGAAAATGTTCGAGCCCCTACGTTCTTGTACTGGTTACATTACTTCTCGTATTCAAAGACTTCTTCACCCAACATTGTCTAAAAACGTTACATTTAACAGTAACACATATCCATAAAGTAAGTATTTGACCTCCCCCTCCCCCCGAGGTAGTGATCTCCATAGCCCTCGTAAGTGATAGGTAGGCACTTGCGTAAGTTTGCCGTTAATTTCCGGCAATGAATCATCTTATAAAAGACGTATAACGCCGACCATGACACAACATACCAAAGAATTCTTCTCTTATAAGGTCGTTGCAACCATTTTAGTCTACCCGTACTTTAAGCAAGAATTTAGGCTAGAATTTGCTTTTTTAATTAAGCGCAAATGAAGTCGACGTCTACCCTGGGACCAGACTCCGCAGTAAAGGAAGAGGGCAAAATCCGGGTCAAATAGCAAAAAATATCGGCGAGCGGCAGAGCAAGCCCCAATCCACCGCTCAGCTCGCTTCGCTGGCCAATATTTTTGTTGTTTGACCCCTTTTTTTTGCCTTCTTCCCCAACTGCGGAACCTAGTCCCAGGTTACTCTTTAATTTCCCCTCCCCAGACTACCTCTCGGCTCGCTCCCCGATTTGTTTTTTTCGCCCACGCTTATTTTTTTCCTTCTTCCTACCCTTCGCCCCCCGCCCCCACCAATGCGCAGCCTGGTCCCAGGCTAGTCGACGCCTTCCTTTTTAGTCTCAAAATGCTATGCCTTCCATGTCTACAACTATATTTGAGGGTGCGAATGGTGTTAACAGTTAACTGATAATTGGCCAAAAAATTAGTAGTTAACTGATAAATGAAAAGTTAACAGTTAAGTGATATTATATTAATGTTAATGAAAGCAACAAAGTTTTGCAAACAGAAACGCTATTTTGTGACAATTTTCTGTCCCGCTGATGACCAGGTGGCACATTAACTGATATTACCATCTACAAAAGGCACACCAGAGCAGTACCTGACAAACAGAAAGCGTAAGTCAAAGAGTTGGTTTTTATACACAACTCAACGAATAATTTCGTCTTCTGATATTAACAAGATTTCTGTGTTCGGAAAAGGAAAATACTGTTTTCACGGACCCAAAAGATCGTCAAGTCAAACATTACCCAAATACAAAAGCTGTGACTCTTAGCATTGTTTCTGGCTAAAAAGAATTTCTGAGGGTTCAAAGAAATCAGCAGTCTTTCTTTCAAGTGCATGGAATTTGTACTTACGAGAAATCATTTTTGTAACTGATGTTGGAGTTCTAACTAATATTGAGACCCTTTTAATAGAAAGAAAAGCTCTTATTTTAACCCGTCTTACCGAAACAGTTTCGGCAGTTTCATTTCTGAAAACCCTTGGATATCTTTATGAGGCTTTTGAAATACGCGAATAAAGTACGTCTGCGAAAAAGGTAACATTGTGGGACGCGGAAGAGGATGTCGACAAAATCTGTATCGAGGTAAAAAATCTTCTGACAACGCAGGTGGAAAACCTACATGCGGTTTCTCACTTCAACACAAAACAACTACGCCCAAGACTTTGGAACCACAGTAAAGGAATCGCTTAAAAGAACTACGAGTTCGAAGAGGGCTACTGCACTCACGAAATAAAAGCCGAATTGTCTCTTGTCAAATACTTTCATGCCTTTGTCACCGCTCTCAACTATGTCTCTCGATCCCATTGGTGCAAACAGTGATTGAATTCATCAATTGAATTCCAAAAATAATCGTCCAGTTTTGTTATTTAAGACTATATTTTGGAATTGATAATGTTTCTCGACGTCTGTTGCAATGGATTGCAAGGATTAAATGAATGGATTGAAACTTAGGCCAACAACAAGATAAGGGACATACAGCAACCATATGAGTACAAGACTGATTCCGATCACATAGTGAAAGTGCCGAGGAAGGTGACTTTGAAGTAGTTTACAGCAGGACATGCATGACCATGTCGGGAAGATCAGTACGAGATCATGACTGGTGCGTCTGGATCTATGAGGCTGGTGTCATATTG